GCTTCGGGAGGAAGGAGACTCTGATTTTGAGACATGAAAAGAAATAAGAATGTAGGACATATACATGGGGGAGGGGGAGAGTGGAAGGGAGAAGTCAACACAAACTATCCTTGGGGAAGCCAACACGTTGCACTGACTTATGAAAGACTCTACTTTTTTATTATTAATTTATTTTATTTTATGTTTTCCTATTGCCATTGATCTCCTCTATGCCTTCTTCCACCTCCCCCACCCCCCACAATGACCACTGTTGTCCATGCATTCTTCCTTTTTTTTCTGTTTTGCTCAATCTCTCCACCCCCAGCACCCCCCTACCCCACAGCAGAGTTATCTGCCTGCTCTCTATCTATGAGTCTGAGACAAAGACTTTAAACTAGGTTTTCTAACTAGGTTTAAAAACTAAACAAAGTATCAAAAGAACTAAAAGAAAGTGTGGGAATGGTGTCTCACTCAAAAAAGAATATCAATAAAGATATACAGAAATTATTAAAAGCAACCAAATAGAAATTCTGACGTTGAAAATGACGGTAACTGAAATAAAAATTGACTAGAGAAGTTCAGTAGCACATCTGAGCAGGCAGAGGCAAAAATCAGGAAACACAAAGAGGGGTGTATTGAAATCAGCCAGTCTGAGGAACAGAAGGAAAAAAATGAGAACTTTGAGTGTGGAACACCAAAGATTTCACCAATGTATGTGTAATGGGAAAGAGACAGAGTGGGGCGGGGTGGGGAGCGAAGAAGGAGAAGGGGTATTTGAAAAAGTAGTGGCTTAAAAATCCCCAAATTTGACGGAAAGCTTTAATCTACACATTCGAAAAGCTCAACACAGTCCAAGCAGGATAAACTTACAGAGATCCACACCACGACACACCATAACCAAACTGTCAAAAGCCAAAGCCAATGAGGTAATTTAAAAGCAGCAAGAGTGGCTCAGCCAGGCGGCTCAGTTGGTCGGAGCATCGGCCTGTACAGCAAAAAGTGCACCGGTCAGGGCACACACCTAGGTTGCAGGTTTGATCCCCGATCAGGGTGCGTACCGGAGGCAACCGATCAATGTTTCTCTCTCATATGATGTCTCTCTCTCACTCCCTTCCTCTCTCTAAAAATCAATAAAAACATATACTCCAGTGAAGTGTTTTAAAAAAAGACAGCAAGAGAAAAGCAATTCATCACATGTAAAAGATCCTCAATAACATGAAAAGCTGGCTTATCATTGAGAACTCCACAGGCCAGGAGGCAATGACATGATTTGCTTACAATGCTGAAAGAAGAAACTATTGATCGAGAGCTCTACCTTGGACAACATGGTCTTTCACAATGAAGGAGAAAGTACGACTTTGCTGCTAGCACACCTGTTCTAGAAAAAATGCCGGAGAGAGTACTTCAGGCTGAAACAAAAGACACGAGGCAGAGGCGGGAGTCTACGCGAAGAAATAAAGAGCATCAGTAAAAGTAACGAGGTAGGTCAATACAAAAGACAGTATGAGAGTATTTTTTATCTGTCTTTTCCCTCTTTGTATTGTATTGGTATTTTTTTTTATTTCTATTTTTCTCCTGTGTGTTTTAAGAGACAATTCTATAAAGCAGTAACAATAAATATGTGTTGGTAGACACACAATGTATAGAGATGTCATTTATAGGACAACAATAACAAAACAAAGGAGGGTTATTGAATGAAGTTATATGGAAATAAGATTTTTGTATATTATTGAAGTTAAGTTCATTTTAATTCAAACTGGATTGTTATAAATCAAGATGTTAACTGTAATCCCCAAAGCATGCACTAAGAAGATAATTTTTAAAAAGAATAGTAAAGACAAGGGAATTTGAGTGGAGCATTTAGAAATGTCTACGTATCACAAAAAAAGTTATTGAGGAACAGAAAACTAAAAAAAGACACGAGAAAAAATAACAAAGTGGCAGAATTAAATCCTACCTTATTAATAATCACATTAACTATAAATGAATTAAACACTAATGGAAAGGTTGCATTTGGCAGGATTGATTAGAAAAACATGCTCTTCCGTCGGCCTGTGGTCCAGAGAGACCCGGGTTCGGTTCCCGTTGGGGGCACATACCTCAGTTGCAATTTGTCCCCGGCCCTGGTTGGGTCATGCGGGTGGCAGCCACTGTATGTGTCCCTTTTACGTTGATGTTTCTCTCTCTCTCTTTCTTTCTCTCTCTCCCTCCCACTCTATCTGAACAAAAAAAATGGAAAAATGTCCTCGGGTGAGGATAAAAAACAAAATAAAACAAAACAAAAAAACATGCTTTTCAAAGAAAACGTAAAGGAAAATACAGCCCTGGCTGGTTTGACTGAGAGGTCAGGGCGTCAGCCTGTAGACCAAAGAGTCCCGGTTCAATTCCGGCCAAGGGCATGTACCTCGATTGCAGTTAGGCCCCAGCCCCAGTTTGGGTTGTACAGGTGACAACCAATCGATGTGTCTCTCTCACATTGATGTTTCTCTCTCTCTCTCTCTCTCTCGCTCGCTCTCTCTCTCTCTCTGCCTCCCAGTCTGTCTGAAGATAAATGTAAAAAAAAGAAAGAAAATACATGGATGGCCAATAAACACGTGAAAAGACGCTCGACATCATTAGTGATCAGGGAAAAGCAAATCAGACCACAGTGAGATACCGCTTCATACCCACAAGCATGGTTATAATAGAGAAGATGAACGACTGCAAATGCTGGTGAGAATATGAAGAAATCTGAGCCCGCGTGAGTTCCCTGTGAGACTGGAAAATGATGCAATCTCTGCAGAACACAGCTCGGTGGTTTCTTCTCCAAGAGTCAGACGCAGAGATGCCATGGTACCCTGTCGTCCTCCTCTGGGGCACTACCCCAGAGAACTGAAGACACATGTTCACACAAAAACTCCTGTGTGAATGTTCATAGCTTCACTGTTCACAGTCGCCAAAAAGCAGAAACAACCCGAATGCCCATCAACTGGTGAATGGATACAATGTCACATGTCCATACTGTAGAATGAAAAGGAATCAAGTACTGATACATGTTGCAGCAGGACACATCCTGGAAACGTTGTGCTAAGTGAGAGATGCCCATAACCAAATGCCACATGGGCCTCTGAAATGTCCAGTGGAGCCAAGCGGTCGGACAAAGCAGACCAGGGCTGCCAGGTGCCGGGAACAGGAAACATGACCACGAATGGACACAGGTTTGTTTTCAGAGTGATGCAGATGTGCCAGTATGAAATGGATGGTTGCACAACTTGGCAAATGTACTAAAACAACTGCACTGGCCAGTTAAAAAGGGTGAATAGGATGGTGTGAATAATAGCTTGATTTTTGAAAAAGCTATTAGGCAAGGTATGCAGTGATCTACACCCCGGAATATTACTTGGAACATAAGTGGTGTTCAGTGGATGTGTTTTTTTTTCCATCTCCCACTGCGTGCTTTAAGACGTCAGTCTGGACTGCTTCAGTCTGAGAACCTCTGCCAGGTGATGTCAGCTTATTGGACCGGGAAGTCAACTTGATCTTCTCAGTTTCCCAAAAGCCTGGTGTCCCATTGGTCTCAGCTCCCTTTCACGGTTTACTGGCGGACGTCAGATGCTCAGAGCTGGAGATCAGCCTACCGATCTGTGGGTATTTTCCAGCCCTCAACTATCATGCCTGGGAGAGGATGCAACATGCCGAGGCCGAGACCGACCCGAGCCCCTGCCTGCCCTTGGGCGTCTGGCCAACGTCTTGCCTTCCTGCCTCCTCTGCCAGCGTCCCCCAGGGCCCTGTTCGGAGCTGACAGGGTGTGACCAGGGCCCAGCGAGGCTGAAGTCTGTGTCTTTGAAAATGTGTGTGTAGTGGCCCAAAAGGAAAAACGCAAGTGCCACCCCCAACCCAGCACAGCCATCCTCAGCTGCGGACAGGGACAGAGAGGAGCCCTGCTGTTCCCCGGGAGGACAGGGACAGAGAGGAGCCCTGCTGTTCCCCGGGAGGACAGGGACAGAGAGGAGCCCTGCTGTTCCCCGGGAGGACAGGGACGGAGAGGAGCCCTGCTGTTCCCCGGGAAAGGGCGCGGCGTTCCCCTCCCCAGGCCTCCCTGGAAGGGACGTGTTAGGACTGAAAAGCTCATTCCCCCGCTCTTCGACACCCTGTTTTTATTCTCTGTGATGGTCCACCCAGAGGTGGGCTTGCTGGACCCCATGACAGCTCTATTTCACCCTTCCGAGGACCCTGCATGCCGTCTTCCATGATGAACGAACCGACTCACGGTCCCACGGGCAGCGCTGGGCCACCGCGTCCACCGGCCTGCGACAAGGGTCTCTGAGCTGCGGGGTGACGGCCAACCCCACGGTGCGGGGGAGAGCTCAGGACAGTCTTGATTTGCATTTTCCTGCCCACTAGTGATGAGTGTCCTTTCATGGACCGATTGGCCAAAAGCATAAAGAGCGACAGCAAACATAACTAAGTGGGAACACATCGCACCAAAAACTTCTGCTCGGCCGAAGAGGCCGTCATCCGTAACGTGAAAAAGCAACCTATGAAATGGGAGGAAATGTTTGCAAGTTATACATCTGCTGAGGGCTTAATTTCCAACCTGTATAAAGAACTCAAACAATTAAATAACAACATCTGTGGGGATGGCAGGGGATCGTGGTGGAGAGGCCATGGAGGGTACATGGTGATGAAACAAATAAAATAAAATAAAAATTAAACAAAAATTCAATTATAAAAGGTCGTTTTGTTTTTTTTTTCTAAAGAGATGCTCTATTTTGGAAAATAAATAAATAAAAAAGGATAAAGGAAGTGAAGAGACATTTTTTCCGAAGAAGAGCCCAAGTCTTGATGTAAGAAAGTGAAAGGGGAGCTTCCTTCTCGGGGATGACTTGTACTAGCGAGGAAGGTTCAGTTTCCACTAGTGGGTGTCATGCCTGGGAAAGGGGCCAAGGGAAGGAGGAAAGAGGAAATAGAAGAAAGGACTTCGGTCAGGGGAAGAGCCCATGATGTTGGGGGGCAGGTTGGGGTCTTAGCTGATTGCTGACCCGAGAAGAGGACCTGGAATGTGATGTTTAGCTGTTTGTTCTCCTGCGTGGTGACTCCTACAGCCTTTGGGAAGCAGGTGGGAGAGCCCAGCCGGCCACTGGAGACCCGGGGCCCACACTTGCGCGCGGGAGAGGGGCGCGGGCACGTGGCCGGGGACCCGGGGTCCACACTTGCGCTGCAGGAGAGGGAGCGCGGGCACGTGGCCGGGGACCCGGGGTCCACACTTGCGCTGCGGGAGAGGGAGCGCGGGCACGTGGCCGGACACCCGGGGCCCACACTTGCGCTGCGGGAGAGGGGCGCGGGCACGTGGCTGGACACCCGGGGCCCACACTTGCACTGCGGGAGAGGGAGCGCGGGCACGTGGCCGGACACCCGGGGTCCACACTTGCGCTGTGGGAGAGGGAGCGCGGGCACGTGGCCGGGGACACGGGGTCCACACTTGCGCTGCGGGAGAGGGAGCGCGGGCACGTGGCCGGACACCCGGGGTCCACACTTGCGCTGCAGGAGAGGGGCACGGGCACGTGGCCGGGGACCCGGGGTCCACACTTGCGCTGCGGGAGAGGGAGCGCGGGCACGTGGCCGGACACCCGGGGTCCACACTTGCGCTGTGGGAGAGGGAGCGCGGGCACGTGGCCGGACACCCGGGGTCCACACTTGCGCTGCAGGAGAGGGGCACGGGCACGTGGCCGGGGACCCGGGGTCCACACTTGCGCTGCAGGAGAGGGAGCGCGGGCACGTGGCCTGAGGTGGAGGGAGGGCGAGCTCAGGGCAGCATTTCCGACTGGAAAGTGAGCAGAGCCCCGTGGAGAATGACGCACCTTGAGAATCTGGTCCTGGGAGGTGGCTAGGCTTCGTTCACCTGTGTGGGTTATGGCACGGCGTCGAGGAACGGTGACCCCTGGAGGCTGGTGGACACAGTCCTGCGTGCCCGGGCTCTGAGACATGTCGGAGGCCGTGTGCGGAGGACCGAGCTGAGCACGCAGGGGGCGGAGGGGCATTTAGTACCGGGGAAGGAACAGGTGGGGACTCGGGAGTCTGGGATGAGTGGCTTCAATGAGCTCATCCAAGGTAATGTCCTGACACACAGTTGAACTCTAACGCATTCTGGAAGAATCTGAACAGAGGAACTAAGGCTGCAGAATGGTTAGAAGTTATGATCGGGAAGGAGGGCCCAGAGCAAAGGACCGGCTAAGTCTGAGGGGCAGACAGGACAGACGGGAGAGGGGCGGTGCTCAGTACCAGGCTGGGGTGCAGGCAGCTAAACCTCAGGCTTGATCTCTACGGAGGGGCGGGGCTCAGTGCCAGGCTCTGGGGGAGGCTCAGTGCCAGGGAAGGGCATGTGTTCAGGCCTGGGAAGACAAAGGCCAGCGATGGGAAGGACTCAGTGCCCAGAGAGCGGAGCTAGTCCCAAGGATGACTAACTCCCTAGACGGGAGGTTAGGTGGTCACATTTCTGCAGGAGCTCAGGGACCAGGAGAATGGAGGCTGGGGCCAGGATGGCCGGGGAACCGCCTGCCATGGGGCCTCAGAGCTCTTGAGACCTGGCCACCTGCTCCCACCGCACACTGCCTGCCCTTGCTCCGCCCTCCCCATCTGGATAGCAGCGAGGGCAGGGCTCAGCCCCAGGCAGGGACTGCAGGAGCAGACCTGAGCCCCAGGGGGCGGGGCGGGCAGCCCGTGGACTGCTGGCTCCATGCCAACCCAGCCCAGGGCTCAGACCGGTGGCTGCTGGGGTTGGAGGCCAGGGGCTGGAGCAGTGGACAGAGGTGGGGGTCCTGCCCGGCCTTGCTGTGGTCTAACTCGGTCTCCTCTCCCCTTCTCCAGCTGTCCAGTGACACCCCCACCCGTGAGGGCGCTTGTGGAGAAAGGCTGGGAGTGTGGAGAAGTGGACCTGTTCTCCCCGCGCCAGCTTGCCGGTGCTGGGGTCCCCTCGCCGGGTGCAGGGGCACGGCACCATGCCACGTCGGCTGCCGTCGGCTGGGTTCCTGCAGCGGATTCAAACCAGAGGTGGAGAGGAATCCGGGCCGTCTCGTCCAGCTCTTCACAGGTGGGAAACAGAGATATGAACTGGCTTAGATATCACATAGTTGATGTGCCGACGGGTCTCTGGCCCTTAGCAGGGCCAGAGTCGGGCTCCAGGTCACTGTATTTTCCTCCATGTGTTATGCCTCCCAAACAGTGCCTGGCTTTCCAGTCATGGCAGGGAATCAACAGCTGAGCCAATTACTAACTAGGTGACACTGAGTTTCGGTCATAGGGGCAGAATGCAATCCGGGTGTCACCAGCCTCTTCCAAGGCAGCCCAGGGTCACCCTCTCCAGGTCTCAGCCTCCACACACCTGATAAAGGGTCTGAGCCTCTGCTACAGTTCCCCAGTCACAATGAAGCCCAGAGGGGGCCTCGTGCAGTGTCACCCCCATGCAAACAGACACGTTCACAACCCCCGACTGCCTCTGCCCTGAGAAGCCCGGCAGCAGCCCCACGGGGACCGGGGCAGCTGGCTCCTGGTGCACCGAACCCCACGACACGCGGTGTCTTGAGGAACCGGCCTGCCTCTCCCCTCTCTGCGAGGGTTGGCCGGTGAAACTGTCCAGGCCGCGCGGCTGTGCCTCAATGCCCCGTGGCAGTTTTAGTAAAATAACACTTCACGTTTGTATTTAGTGTTCTCCCACAGACTTGGCCATAAGACCATTAGGAGCTAAGTCAAAAGATTTCTCTGAATGGCAGATGCCAGGCTCTGCCAAGTGTGGGGGACATAGCAGAGCTTACATGTCCCGTGACATTTCCCGGCTTCCTTGCATTTGGTGGGGCCATGTGACTAGTTCCGGTCAATGAATGGGAGTGATGTCACTTCCCACTTGAAGCTCAGGAGACTCGGGAACTGATGAGAGTCCGGATGCTGGGTCCAGGAGTGTGGGACAGAGCACGCGTGGAGACAGACTTCTAGTTTATAAAGTAATTCTGGTTTATATTTTGTGTTGGCTTGCTTGTTATGCAACACAGTCTCACCTCTCTCGACGAATACAGCCAAACGCCGTGCCTCCTAACAGAAGCGTCCTTACCCAATCAACCTCACCGGGCCAGTTTCTTTTTCCCTTCTAGTAGCGCCTGGGGAGCTGGCTCAGTTTCACAGCTGCAAGTCTTCTTGTGAGGATTCTCCATGAGCTCATCCCAAGTGCCCGGACCTGTCACAGCTCCCGTTAGAGAGGTTTAACTCTCCATCGCCACTGTCCCTCCCTGCCGCCCCCCTTTTCAAAAGTCTCTTCTCTCAACAAAAGATCCCATCCTGGACCCCCGCCCTCTGGACTCTGAAAGCTACAGAGCACAGAACCGTGTGTGTGGCAGTTTTCCGCGAATTCTCATGAGCGACATGCTGCTTGGCCATCGGCCTTATTTCCGGTCTCGTCCCGTGGGAACCTGGAACGCCCCTTTCCTCACTGCCATCTCTTCTTGCAGTGGTTCCAACATGCATCTCAGCCTCGGCAGACATCACGCGGTGCTTGTCGGGCGCCAGCCGGTACGTCAAGGCTTTTGCGTCCTCAGACAGGACCCTGCTTGCTTCTGGGGAGTTCCCTGTGAGGCTTGCTCAGATCAGAGGTGCACATCTGCAGTCTCACCCGGATAGCTGGAGGGAGACTTCCCACGTGCTTTTAGGAGTGCTTCCTCCCCGCCCCCACCCCTGGGCCTTCAGTTGTACCTGGACCGCAGGTGTGGCAGGAGGGGGGTCATCTCCCTCTCAGGGAACAGGTGATGGAGATGCTTAGATGCCTTGTCTCCTGGGGGACACTCTGTCTTCCATCGGCTTCGAAGAATAGACACCACCAAGTACCTGCTACGACAGCCCCTGTGTGCACAAGCCAGGTGTAGTCCCCCTAAAATTCTGAGTGCGTAGCTCCAACTCTCTGTTTAGAGACACTGGATATCTTGGGGCATCTTTCTGGGCAAAGTCCTAAGTCCTTCCAACCTTATACCCTCGGCCTTGCTAGGTACCCCAGATGAGGCGAAAGCCCTCTCAGACCCAGCGGGCCTGGATTTCGCCCTGTCGGTGACGGGAAGTTGACATGGCACGGTGGCGAAGAAAGCGAGCGTTGCTGTCAGACTGTGCAGGGTCAAACCCCAGCCCTTTTGGAGTTAGGCCAGGACACCTCGGGAAGCCGCCTTTATCTCGTGTGTCTTAATTGAGTCACCTGTAAAGCAGGTGGTAATTACGCACATCTTCCAGGACTCATAATAGAGGTTGAGTACTCCGTGCTGCCACAGAGGGGATATTGGCCATCACCCAGGTCCCTTCTCCTGCCCGGCAGGCTCTTCCATTCCATTCCCTCTGCACAGACTTGCCCGTCTGATCTTCTCAGACACTGGCTTTATCTTGCCACCTCCTTCCTGCACACCCGAAGTGGCTTCCAGCCATCGTAAGGTATCGGTTTACAAAACACACTTTAAAGGTCCTCTTCCGGGCCCTCAGGACCCTCAGGACCCTCAGGACCCTCAGGATCTGTCTGTTCCCAGCTGTGCCTTATTTCCCTCCAGCCTTGGTTCCAACCATCCCCCCAGAACCTCCACGCAATCTCGCTGACCTCTGTTCTCCTCACAGTTTCCTGCTCGTGCCAAGACTATTCTGACCTCATATTCTATCTCTTGAAGCCTTAGTCAGCCTTGAAGGCCCAAGCAGGAGGCCTCCCTCCTCCAGAAAGTCCTCCCTGACTAGGCAAAAACTCTGTGCCACACACATGCTGATTAATCACCACAGACTTTTTTTTTAAAACCTCTGTGGTTTTGTTTTCACCTGGATTTGCATATGGTCTTCCTCCCAGCACGAGAGGCCTTTGCAGCAGACACTGCGCTCCCTTAGCTTATGGTTGGCATTCGGTAGGTGCTCAGGACGGGCTAGCCTGGTGACCAGCCCTGGGTGGTTTGAGAAGACTCCTAAAGGTTGGGGACACCAGACAGAGATAACAGTGAACCCCCTGATTGCTCCTGGGCCCCCAGTAGTAGGGAACATTGTGCGGGGAGAAGCCATTTTTTGCTACTCCTGGACGTTTGGAAGGAGCTGGAAGAAATGGACGGACATTCCCTGTACAGCCAGTAGCCTCCCTGGCTCCCCCTCGAGGCTGGTGAAAACAGTCATTTGGTAAATAGTGCAGTGTTAAGGGGAGGGGTCCCAGACCCAAACCCAAGGTTCCAGTGCTGGCTACAGCTTTGACTCATGGTGTGACTGGAGCAAGTTTGCTCATCTTTCAGGGCCTCGGTTTCTCTACCTCTCTTTGAAACGGGAATAAAAACGGTCCCTACCTGGTGAAGATGAAATGAGTTAATGCATGCAAAGCAGTTAGAGTGCTACTTTAGGGAGCACTCAATAAACATACGCTACTCTTGTGGGTGCTGACACGCCTAGCAGGAGTAGGGGATGTCCGGCCCCGCGGGTCGATAAGGCCCTCAAAATCAATACCAGCTGACATCACGCACCTCACCAAATCAGCCTGACAAAATATAGCAGGCTAATTTTTAAGATGGTAATTTTGTATGGCCAGCTAATGGTGTTATAAATACCCAAATGGCCTTTGGCAGAAAAGAGGTTTGGACAGTGTTATGTGTGTGTGTGGAGGGTGGGGGGTGGGTGGGGGATCAGATTCAAACGCCATCTCTTCCACTTCTACCTCAGTGCTTAGGAGCCCATTCTCCCTCTCTGAGCCTTTGATTATGTTTAAAATAAAGAAAATCATGCCCACCATACAGGGTTGAGATGGGTATGAGATTTTGCTTATGAAGCATGGAGAACAAGTTCCCGCATACATGGGGCTCAGGGGTGCGTTCCCATCCTCTTCCATATATGTCTCCTATTTCTGCCTGGCAGACTGTCTGGGCAGAGATCGTGGCATTGGAAGGAAAGAACTACAGAGGAGACAAGCTGGACACAAAGGATCTTGAAAATTCCACTCGGTGTT